AACAACAACAACAACAACAACAACAACAACAACAACAACACCAACACGAGCGCCGCCGCCGCCAATACCAGCACGCCGCCAACGCCGCCGCCAACACCACCGCCACCAAGAAAGCGACTTTAAAAACGTTGATATTCGTATATCCCTTTTTATTAATTGCGTATTTATTTACAATATATAATATCAAAGGAAACATGCAAATTCTTTACAAAATCAATAAAAATAAAAATGTTAGGTAAATTATTTTTGTAACTTGGCAATTACATGTATTTTATAACTTATTTGACTTAAGTGAAAGTAGATTGGTGTTTTATCTACTCTGTGAATTTATTCAGATTGTTAGAATGTCAAGATCAATTTTTTTGTTTGAACTGTTTGTTTATGCAGTATAAATTACAAGTCTTGGGTTGTAGATTGCAGATGGAGAAAAGGATAATGAATTTCTCGGATTTGACATTCCCATTTTTACTGAGGAGTTTTTGGATCTTAATAAAGGTGTGTGATTTATTTATCATTTCATTTGATTGTGTTATTCTGTTTATTAATATACTAATAGGGTTTCAACATATTAAGAATTCAGTAAAAATTGAGAAATTCATAATTTACTGAATGGGTGCAGTTATATGCATTTTCTTTGAGGTGACAAAAGTCATGGGATACCTCCTAATATCGTGTCTGGCTTCCTTTTGCTCAATGAAGAATAGTATTTTGATACAGCATGGAAGCAAGTCTTTGGAAGTACCCTGCTGAAATATTGTGCCATACTGCCTCTATAGTCATCCATAATTGCAAAAGTGTTGCCGGTGCAGAATTTTTGCATGAACTGACTTCTTGATCTGGTTTGGCTAATTATTCCCTCCAATTGTCCAGAATGTTCAAACAAATCACGAACAATTGTGGCCCTGTGACATGGTGCATTGTCATCCATGAAAATTCAATCATCGTTTGGAAACATGGATGGCTGCCAATTGTCTCAAAGTATCTGATCATAACCATTTCCAGTTAATGATTGTTTCTGTTAGATCAGAGGACCCAGCCCATTCCTTGTACTCGTAAAAAAAGCACACACCATTATGGAGTCACCACCAGTTTGCACTGTGCCGTGTTTTTTCTTCCTGTGGAGGAGAGAAATGCAGCGCGAAAAAAGCCTCGCAACTTTCCGACAGGAAAAACTCTTTTATTATTATGTGGTGTTGCCAGAATCCAGGGTCCTTGATACCGAAAAATCGAATGACTGCTAACTGCCTGTCCACAAGCCCCACAACTAAACCATTCGTGCAATTTTCTCTAAATTGATAGATATTCCCTAATCGAGCTCCTAGAATTTGAAACATACTTCAATTTTGGTGTAGAACTTTCAATGAAGCCCCCGAGACATTTTCATAAAATATGTCTCCATTATATTTGATTAAATTTTGTTGTTGGATAGGGTGAAGGACATTTAAGAGTATGGTGCAGGTCTCATGTTTGTTGAAAACCCTAATTTTTCGAAAACTGCAAAAGTTCTAAATATTTTTGGATTCTTCCTACAACCAAAACATTAAAGATGGATATTTATTCCCTTAATGAAATCTGTTCCTTAAAAATAGACTTTGAAATAAGGTCATGTACATTTTTCGGGAAAATGGGGACTTTTTGCGTAATTTTGCATGGGAATATGAGGGAGAACGTAGATGCTGTTTTAGCATTAGTGGTTGACAACTGGGGTTCATGGTTTCATGGGGTCTACGCAACACTCGAACCATACCATCCCCTTTTACCAACAGAAATCTGGATTTATCTGACCAAGACAGTTGTCTAGGGTCCAATTGATATGGTCATGAGCCCAGGAGGGGCGGAGCTGGCTGAAGCGTCCTCTGAAGTCTGTCTTCTGTTGCTACTGCACATTAAAGCCAAATTTTGCCACATAATGAAAACGTTTTTTATATGTCCCACATTGAGTTTTGCAGTTGTTTCATCCAGAATTGATTGCACTGACAACTACGCAAGCACCAGTGCTATGAGTCATTAAGTAAAGACCATCAACAACTACGTTGTTCTTGGTTATAAATCAGGTATTTTGGCACACTCTTGTCACTGGAATTTGCAATATTGATTTCCCCAATGATTTCCAAAATAGAATGGCCCATGCTTCTAGCTCCAACTACCATTCCGTGTTCAAAGTCTGTTAATTTCCATTGTGCAGCCATAATCATGCTAGAAACATTTCCACATTAATCACTTGAGTAGAAAGGAAAGCTCTGCCAATGCGCTACCCTTTTGTATGTGATACTACTGCCGTTCGTATAGTACATATTGCTATCCCATTACTTTTGTCACCTCGGTGTAATAGAACAAGTGTGATTGTGTAGTTCCTCTTCATTAGAAAAATTACCAAGTAAATGGCATTACAGTCTGAATTTATTGCATTGAAGATTAACTTTTTGTTTTTAAAATTCAGAGCAAAATGTAATATAATGCAATGAGCTTGTAACTATCTATTCTCTTAATGACAAAATGAAGATCGACTATTGTGTCAGTTTTTTAAAATTTACCATGCAGATACACATGGTTTGCTAACTACTCTCATTAATAATAATAATAATAATAATAATAATAATAATTTTCTTTGTTATAATTTTTTTTTCTCACTTCATACAATAGATAGTAAGAGAAAGTATTGTAATGCTGCAGCTGAAAATGGGGATATTTTGTAAGAAATACTCGAATTGTGTTACCCTGGTATGGAAAATGTTAATAAATCCAGTACCTCTGTATAGTAAATCACTTTTTCTAACAAGTTGTGTACTGAGAATCCACTTTTTCTGGTATCTTGGTACCAAAAAATAAATATACTGACAAGCATCAGACTGTCCGCTTGTGTATGGTCAACACTAGCTCATAAACCGTTCAGACGATTTTCTCCAAAATTGCCATTCTGCATTTGATCCGACCGAACTCGGGGCCCTGTAAAATTTGAATGGAAATTTTGATTTTGGTTAGAAGCCTTTACATCATGTTAAAAATTCTTTCAAAAATCGCTCCAAATGTTTGGATTAATCTTTCTCTCGGATTGAACAAAGCGTTCATTAAACTCTAGTTTTCGAAACTGATGATAGTGTTAAAAAAATGCCGTTTTCCTAATCCACAATATTGAAGAAATTTGTTCTTTAATGAAGTCTCTTCTCTTTTCGTGAAGACATGTACAATTTTTTTGATAGTGTGAGTAGTTTTCGCGATTTTTTGCGTGTATGACCATTTTTAAACAATTTTCTCAAAAACAGCTTCTTTAAAAAAATTGTTCTCGTTTGGAACGCAGTTTATTAAAGTGGTGCAGATGCCAGTTTCGGTGAATTCTGTAAATTCGTCCGTCCGTGGTCAACTCGCGCGGCTATACCTTTAAGACGATTTTCTCCAAAATTGTCCCCTTTTTATTAACATTTGCCCTTGGAGAGCGCAAAGGACACGTTCTTTCGAAAATGTCATTTTCTTTCGGAATCGTCACTGTCTTCGGTATGCTCGTCACTTTCTTGAGAATCGCCACCATGGTCTTTTTCTTAAGAATCGCCGCCGTTGATTTCTCTTGGAAATCACCGTTGTCTTTCTTTTTTCTTGAGAATCACCGTAGTCTTTATCTTTTTTCTTGAGAACACCGTAGTCTTTATCTTTTTTCTTGAGAACACCGTCGTCTTTATCTTTTTTCTTGAGAAACACCGTCGTCTTCATCTTTTTTCTTGGGAATCGCCGTCGTCGTCTTCGTCTTTTACTCTGGAATCGATGTTGTCTTTTTTTTTGCGACTCGCGGTCGTCGCCGCCTTTTTCCGTCAAGGTGAGTTGGTGCACGTCGAGATGGGAGGATGCAGAGAAGGCTCTCACGTGTTCCCGGTTCCATTTTTCATCTCCTTGCATTTAATTTCATATTTTACCTGCATTCTTTTATCACCACGTTTTTTTGTTTCACTAGCCTTTTCCGAGTGCTGAAACCCCACCCATGTACGACATGTACGGCTACCCATGTCGAATGAATGACTGACGTTGGGGTTGGCGGGTCCGTGCGTGCTTGCCCATACACATCCTTGACGCTGGACCCCTCGGTTGAACTCCTATGTTCATTGTTCAAGTCCTGGTATGTGCGCGTGGGTAATGTGTGCCCCAGCCCCAATGCTCTGCCGTCGCTCTCTTCTAGAAGGGGAATGAGGAGCTCACTCCCTATCAGTCTGTTCGGATTATGCTTCTGGCCGAACTCCAGGGTGAGTGGGAGTGCCATGGTGTCTCCCTGCAGGTGTACGATGGGGGAAGAAGCCCTGCTACATCTCCGTGGCAACCCTTGCAACTCTGGCAATCCAATGGAATGTTGACCTGTTGGACTCCCTGGTCAGCAGGGACCACGGAAATAACTGAAATCCTCTATAGTCACTATGACTATGATGAATGTAAGCAAAATCGTGACGCATGAGTTTCTTTTTTTTCCCAAAAGTTTTTTTTCAAGACGTTATTAATTTTCAAAGTTTTTGAAAACGTGCTTGGATTGTTTGTTTGTAACTTTTATTGTAATTGTGACAAAAAATTTAATTTTTTTGCGTCACTATTCTGCCTTCAAGAAACTCATCTTCTGCCCCACCATCCCTTCTGTCTTCGAGGGTTTAACATCTATCGATTTGATCCTGATGACGGATCGTCCTTTTCGCTAACGGTGTGCAATAAATACATTCCTCGTGGGTAAGTTGTCACTAAATGATCTTTAAGATGTTTTTTCAGTTGCCGGCCCCTTTTCTTGTTGTGGGGGAATTAAATGCCCACAATCCCGCCTGGGGTGGCACAAGGACCTGCTCGAGAGGCAATATACTCGAAAATATTGACAACCAAAACATAATTCTTCTGAATACTGGCGAAATCGCACATTTTTCCGTGGCTTCAAACACTTTCTCGCCTGTCGATCTGGGTCTCTGCAGTCCATCTCCATCTTTGAGTGGACTGTCCTTGACGACCAGCATGACAGTGACCACTTCCCAATTCTGGACGATTTCGGCCCGACCCATACGTTGTCCGTCCTCGCTGGCTAATCCACCGAACTGCGTGAGAGACATTCTAAAAAGAAATACGGATATCGGAAAACTGTCCAAACGATATCTATGCTATGGTTGCTCATTTTGCTGATTCCGGTCTTCATTCGTCTCAATTACCATTCCGAAGTCGGATGACCACGTCATCCTCTCCAGCCATGGAATGCTGACTGTGCCACCGCAGTGTGTGATTGGAAACGGGCATTGATCTAGGTTTAGTAGGTTCCCAGCCATGGATAATCTGATCAATTATGAAGGATCACGACCTAGAGCTAGATTGACCATACGGGAAAGTAAGGCCGCGTCCTTTAAAGCTTATATTTCATGACTCTCTTGCCGTATGCCTTCTAAAGTAGTGTGGCGAAAGGTTCAACAGATCGGTGGAAGACTTCCGTCGCCTCCTTTCTCCATGGATGAATTTTCCTGTGCCCTGGCTTGTGCAAAAGATTCTGC